ATAGCTTGGGAAGTCACCGAGGTTCTCCTCTGGATCCATGACAACCCCTAGTTCTTCTTTCATTGGATTCTACAATAAAATGTTCCAAATTTGAACCAATCCCCTTTTCACACCTCTACGTCCGATTTTGTTGAAGAGTCCTACCCTTTGAAATTCCTTGAAGATAATATTTCTTGATTTTTATCGAGAGTTTTCTTAAGTGGATTGGGTCATTTAAGATGTAATTAACTATAGGGGCTTGCCCTTATAGGAAGCATGTCCGAACCCAGCTTAATATAAACCCTATTTAATCCTTTATATTAAATAGGGGAACTTGTCGGCAAATACAAAGGTTTCGCAGACCAAACTTATGTCATATTTTCCTTAGTTTATTTGATCGAGTCTCATCCTCAAGTCTTGTGTTTATCCTTTGGGATAGATACAAGATTTGAGGTACAGTGCTCTTTCATTTTAAACTATGAAAAATATGGGGTCAGTTTTATTTCATACTTCAACGTCCTTCCGAAGCGGGCGACGGGATTTCGATTCTAGCGAACGACAGCTTCTTACGGACAACCCCACAAACCATCCACGAAATAACGCCGACAGTGGATGAGCTGGTATCTTGATGTTGTGTTGTCTATGTGTTATTGTGAGGAGGTGGTAGTGTAGTGGATGAGTTGGTGCCTTGATGTTATGTTATCTGTGTGTTATTGTGAGGAGGTAGTAGTGTAATGGATTAGTTGGTGTTTGTGTGTTACTTTGTTGAGTTAGTGATGTGGTGGATGAGTTGGTGTATTGATGTTTCAGTGAATTTAGCATATGAGGAGCTGGCGTGTGTGTGTAGTTTTGTTTGTGTAGAGGTGGTGTTGCTGGCATGGAGATGTGAGGTTATATTTGTGTGGGGTGGTGTGAGAGATGTGAAGTTTGTGTAGTGTCTGGTGGAGGTTTTGGTGTTTGTGTGGAGGTTTTGGAGTTTGGTAGATGTGATGGTGTTTGTTTGGTTTCTATTTGCTGTCTGTGTGTGACTTTGAGGAGGGGGTGGTGTTTGTATGGAGGTGTTGCTGCGTGGAGGTTGTGCTGGTGGTGTGATAGATGTATTGGTGTCCCGATATGCCTGTGTGTGAAGGCGTTGCTATGAAGGTCGTGTTGATGAAATTGCGACATTACAATTTTTCTTTGATTTGTGATTTTGTGGCATTCTTATTTATGTTAATTAGTTTGTTTCATGGGAGTAATATAGTCGTTGAGACCAAAGGGGCTGGTTCATCTACAATGTGGGAAAAAGTAAAAAAAATCATTTTTTGCTGCCTTTGCCACAAAGAGGTTGATATGGGAAGTATGCCTACAACCTATTTCACTAAGAAATGGTGAAAAAAATATTATCAAAAAATCAAGGAAAGTACACGCATAGAGTATGATAGGATGCTAGTCGGTACTATTTTGGGTGTGCAGTTGTCCGTTGAAAGTTGTCGGTCAACGGAATCAAAATCTTATCGCCTGCTTCAGAAAGACATTTACATATATATATATATATATATACA